GTATTTAAAAGACGGGTAGATGAGGCGCTTAGGGACATGGTTTAGTGGGCATGGTGGTGTTGGGTTGACGGTTGGACTCAATGATCTTAGAGGTCTTTTGCAACCTTAATGATTCTATGATTCTATTGTTGTTGTTGTTATTATTATTATTATTATTATTATTATTATTATTATTATTTTATTTCAATTATTAAACTGTTTTTATCTTGTTTTTATCTCAACCCACGAGTTTTTCTCACTTCTACTCTTCTAATTCTCCCCCCCATCCCACCAGGGGAGGGAGCGAGTGAGCAGCTGTGTGGTGCTCAGTTGCCAACTGAGGTTAAACCACGACAAATACTCAATCTGGCTAAATAAAATCTGTGTTCATCCCCTGTCCCATGGAAAATGAGGCTTAAATGTGTATGTCTCTCTTTCTGAGCAGAAATTCAACGATGCTCTCATCATCAGTGAAGATGCCCGCATCGAAGATGCTTTAGCCTACCTAACTGATTTTTTCACAAATGTCAAAAATGGACCACATACAGAGTTAGAGAAGCAACTGACAGCCAAATTTCAAGGTATTTCACACAGCAGCTGTGACAGTTACAGGGGAGAAGAGGGCTTATTGTAGGATGATCCAAGTGTTTTCTTCAGAGTAAGTGCAACTGTTTTTCCAGAAACTTCACTTTTCAGATCTAGTGTCCATGTGGGTGCAAATATAGCGTTAGGGTAGGCAGGGGGGAACTTACTTTCTGGGACTTCAAGCTTCTAGTGCAGGAGCCTAGGCAGTAGTAGTAATTGTAGCTAGATGCTGTAGTAGGTTCTTACATGCCTGACTTGGAGATAAGGCAGTGGTGTCCTTAAGGGTGTGCCCCAGAAGTAGGCTGATGGTCTACAATCATGGATGCCGGTAGCATTAGATAAGGCAACATACACTGCTCAGTGCACTGCCTAGCCTCCTCCTGCCCAATGCTCCCTGACAAATCCCAAAATTTTGGGAAGAAGTAGGTGGCCCTTTTACCCTTCTAATTAAAAGTTAGAGGTTGCAGTGTTCTCTAATTTCTGATTTAGTAGCAGTGTGCTGTAAACCAGCCTGTGATCTAGTGTCAGTTGTTTCCTCAGAAGAAATAGCACCAGTCTTTGCTAGAATGGAGTTTGTTTTGTTGCTGTCTTTTGGTTCACAGTACGTCACAGAGATTCTCCTGTCAGTTTGCTCCAGAATGTGAGACACTCAGAAATTCTTTTTCTGGGGATTTTGTTGCATTTAACCAATAGCTTGCTTTGCTTGCGTCTGTAAGAATGATATAGAAAATAAAAATACATGCTAAAGAGAATGTGGGTGGCATTTGAAAGTCGGTTTGGGTGAGAATTCTGTTTTCTGCATTAAAGAAGGTAAATTATTCAAGATACCGCCATTTTCTTTGAGAGAAAAAGCCAGAACTGACTGCCCTTTCAAAAGATGAGTCAAATGAGAATCCCAAGGTGGAAGAGCTTGCTTGCATCCTGGATGAAGCACTCCGCTATAACCTACAGACTCGCACTCTTCTCTTCGCTGAGACAAGAGCCTTAGTAGCTATAAGACGTTTCTTTTCAAAGCTCCTAAAATGAGAAGTGAGAAAATATAATGCCTCATCTATTACCATTCCCATTTTGATCTGGAAATAGAAAAATATGCATGTATTTGATCTTCCTAAGAAAATATTTATCTTTCTATGTCTTCCTAAGCACTGGCGCTCTGAGACAGGATGAGAGTTTTTTTCTTTTTCTAAAAACTACAGTACAGGGGTGGTGTCCTTCATCACTTCTTCTTGCTATATGTCATAGTTGATCATTAAGCCATCAGAATTTTACTTGAGGTCTGAATTCAGTTTTAACAAGATGTGTTACAAGGTTTTTGGCTTTAATGTGGCAGTGTTGTAAACCAGCAGCTCTGCTCTATTACTGACTGCACATCAGGAGGTATTTATACATTTCCCAGAGGAGTCCTATGGGCCCAAAGGAGGTCTGTGCCCTAGTATGTGTTCTTCATCAAGAAAAAGGAAAGGCTTTGTGGAGCAGATGTTCTCTGGACCCTTCTGATGCACTGGTCTTTTTCACACTTGCCTAGGATCAGGGGTCTAGGCTGGTTTCCTCTCTTCCAATACCTTGTTCCCAGAAGAAGTTCATGCTTGAAGTAAGTGTGCTGCTAATCATTAGCTTCAGTAGCTCTTAAACATTTACTGCAAAGTATCATAGTCTCTGGCTACTGTAAACAGATTTATCAGCTGAGAGTCCCAACCCCCATTTTATCCTTGGATATAGACACGCTGGATGAATTGCAAACCAGAAAAAAGTTAAAGGCAGGCTAAAGTCCAAACTAAAGGCAGGCTAAAGTCCAAACTAACACCACCAAGCATCTGCTGGCAATTTTCCATTATAGATGTAAAAGCCTAGTGTAGCTTGACTGAATTTTGTTCTTATGTAAGAGCAGGTTGAAGGTGCTACTTTCACTGTGCAGTGAGAAAGTGCAGTTTGTAAATAGCAACTCGTTTCCTTTGGATCCCAGAGGTGTAGTATTCAGTGATCTGTTGGTCTATAAAAGAAAAAGACATACTTTTTAGCAGTGAAAGGCTGCTTGTTCTTTAGCCAGCCTTTAAGTTGCAGGGGTGGGAAAAGTGGAAATCAGTTGTGGCATGGTTGGATCTGGCATCATGGCTGTGACTTGCTTTCTCACCTCTTAATAGATGTTCCCTCCTGACGCACAAGTTCCACCTTCTTTTCTGCTTTAGGTTCTTGGAAGTATTAATTGTCTAGGCAAGCATGGATAGGATCCATCTATCTATCCCAAACTAGCATTTCATCTGGACAGGGTTATAATTCCCTGATTTGCTTTCCAGGCTTTGAAGAGGTGGATAGAAGCAAGCCCTCTACTTAGCTACATAAAGCCAGTTGTGTTGATGGGTTGTGGAAGAAGAGATCAAAAAACAGGTACGCAGGTTTGCACTGAGGAATACCAGTTGCTAGACCTATGGTGGCTACGCTGCTAAAATTGTTCTACTCTTCCTGTGTTCCTCTTCTGTGCTCTTAAACAGGGGAAGGCCATGCAAGTTTGCGCTATGCTTCCTTCCATATCTAGAAGACCTTTAATCAATCCTAAGGAGATGCTTGCTTTTTCTGTCCAGAATCTTTGCTTAAAGCAGCAGTAACACTGTCAGTGACCCTTTGCTGCAGAATTCTTTTGCTAGTTCAAAAGAAGTTTAGAAACTGTCTGCTATCATGGCTTCTTGTGATTACTTCTAGTAGTATTTTCCCTGTTCCTTTTACAAATCCCTCTCTTATTTTGCATTTGGTGGCACAAAGACATTTTAAGGTAGAATGGAAGCTACAGCCAAAATGAATTATGAATGGCTTAGGAGTTTGCTTGGGCTTAAAATAACTAAGCTATATGGGTCTCTCTAATAAAGATCAGCTAGGTGTTGCATCTGGAATGGTGTTTCCCAGGATGACAATTCTTGTGGCACATCACCAGGAATTTCTGCTCAGTGGGTATATCATGCAGCCAGCTGGATATGTGAACTTAAAGTACTTTTCTAGATCAAAAGGACATGCTCATTTCTAATCACTTAAGTAAGAGCAAATGCAGGTAACCTGCTCAAGGAAGTCTTCAGTGTTTTTTCCTGACACAGTTTCTTGGTACTGTAGGTATGACCCTCCCAATGCAGAAGGGTGTACTGGATGCATTCAAAACCGACAAAGACAGCAGACTGCTAATTGCTACATCTGTTGGTGATGAAGGCATTGATATTTCTGAGTGCAACCTTGTTGTGCTCTATGAATACTTCCATAATGTCACCAAAATGATCCAAGTCAGAGGTATGGAATTTCAGAGCTATTACTTCAGAAACCTGTTTTGTCCTAGAAATGGACATAAAGTGCTAGTGAGTGGCACTTTGGAAATACTATAGTAATATGTGCATGTCTTGCTGTTGTTCCTGGGTGCCCCTGAGTGAAGTCAGATGAATGATGGCACCGGACATGACAAATTTGTTCACAGAACTGAGTCCTTGATGTTGTGTGTCTTTTCTTTTGCCATGCAAATTAGCCATGCTGCAGAAAGTTATTGAACTGTTGAGGACTGATCCCTCAAGTGAATATTTATAGATATAAGCAAAAGTATGGCTAGAAGAGCTGTAGTCAGAAATAGGGCAAATCATTCTGACTGTGATAATTTACAAAGGACTGCTGCAATGGAATTTCATGTATTGCCTTGGCTTCTGAAGACCTTCCCCTGCCCAGTGGCTTATTCCCAACCCAGCTACTCACAGGTACCCAAGGCCTTTGCATGTGCAGACCTCTAACATCCAAGACAAAAAAAAAAAAAAAAAAAAAAAAAAACCCTTTTTCTGTCTTGGCTTGTTTAAAGAAGTCTGTCAAGACTTGGGTCTTGAATCTTGGTGATTTTACAATACGGCCAGTAGATGGGAATGAAGAGCCACATTAAATACTGTTTTTTGTTTAACATTCCTAAATGTCATAAAACTGCCTACGTCTTTCAAGGGTGCATCTGCAGTATTTTATCATATCACCCAAGTAGTTAATTTCATAATTTGATGGGAAGTGATCTCCATCATACTTAGTCCTCTACTTTCAGGGTTTGTGTCCTGTGATTTTCTTATTTTTGTCTTATAATGAAATAATTGGTCCAGAATTCACGTTTATGGGTGAAAGGATAGTGTTTACTCTTAACAAATCATTAAAGATGTAAAGAAAATAGGTTGTGTCAGTTTTAAACCACATAAAATTATGATTTTGGGGGAATGGGAGCTCAAATGGCCTCAAGTTGCACCAGGGAAGGTTTAGATTGGACGTGAGGAAAGATTTCTTTCCTGAAAGAGTGGTTAAACATTGGAACAGGCTGCCCAGGGAAGTGGCTGAGTCACCATCCCTGGAGGTATTTAAAAGACGTGTAGAGGTGGTGCTTAGGGACGTGGTTTAGGGGTAGACTTGGCAGTGCTAGGTTAACATTTGGACTTGATGATCTTAAAGGTCTTTTCCAACCTTAATGATTCTATGATTCTATGAAAAGCAAATGTGAACATTTTTTCTAACTGGAATACTTCTAAACTGGTATGAGATCCCTGTAGTTCTTACTTCACCTGTGTCACAGCAGCGAAAACCAGGCAGGCAGTAGGCATAGACAAGTGGAGGGGATGGCACTTGCTCTTGTCTCTTTTCTTGCCAGCACTGTATTTCCAGTTCCCTAGGTTTTTTGTGATAGATTTTTTTTTTAAATAGACACCAATTAGCAAGGCAGAAAACTAGTAAGTAAGACTAAGATGAACTTTCTTCCTCTAGCTTTTGTTTCTACAGGAAGCAGCAAGATGCTGTACAATAACTGAAGTGTCAAGCATGCCAGAGCTTAACTGAGGCAGGCCACAGAAGTAGGCAATACAGCACTGGCTGGGGGATATCCATGAGGATACCTGGAAGGGGTGATCTTGTTCTGGTTTGTGATCAAAGAAGAAAGAGCTGAGAGAACACTTTTTAGAAGCAGCATTATCTGAATCTGAACATGGGAAACAGAAGCAGCCACACAGAAAATCCTTAATGGTCTTTTATGGCATAGCTGCTGCTTTTGCACATCTTGTTAAGAGTAACTAAAGAGGATAAATGTGTTGCTGTATAGGTCACGGAAGGGCAAGAGGCAGCAAGTGCATCCTTGTGACAAGCAAAACAGGAGTGGTTGAGAATGAGAAACACAACTGTTACAAGGAAGAAATGATGAATGAAGCTATTGAAAAGCTACAGAATTAGGCTGAAACAACATTTGCAAGAAAGGTTTGTACTTCTGTGGAATTTTCATACTCAAATCTACAGGCATAATCTATATCAGCCTCCATCTACTAGGTCTCTATCTAGGACCAAGTGATAACCTGAGGAAAGTGCTCACTGTATTTGGTTTCAGACTAAGCCTCGATCAGCAGAGAAGGGATAGTGCGTACCGCTAGCTTGCAGAATGTCATCTGTACTGTAACTGTAAAAAACTTAGAAGTTGAGATAGAATTTATATAAACTTCTTGGCTTAGACATAAAATATAAAGTATTCTGTCCACTGGAAGAAAAAGATTGCTGTGTCTACTTGGGATAGTGGACAGGGAGATGGGAAACTATGCAAATGGTGGTAATAGTCCATCCATATTCATGTTCAGAAGCACTCTACCTTTGCTGCAGGCCAGTACAAGTGCTTTTCAAAAGTTATTTGTTGTCATACCAAGTGATTGTTGATTTCACAGCAGTGGTTTCTGGGAGATTTCAAGAAACCATTGCCTGGGACACTATCAGGATGACATTTGGGTTTGTACATGCTCTTCTGCTGGTGACTTCTTTTGTACTGCCTACAGTACTGTTCATCTTTGCTTCAAGCAATGTCTGGCAGATCAACAAGCCTAGTAGAACACCTCAGCACACCTTCAGTGCTTTATATTAACCCTGCTGCGTGCTGCACACTTACCAGATCAGAAAACTTCATGAGGGTAGAAAGAAGTGTCAAGAACTTCTGGTGCTGGAGGTGACATGCAAGAGGTGTGTCAGGCTAAGCCAATGATGGACTTTTGGTCAGGCAGGTTCCGGCCCAGCACAGCAGGCACGTCTGTTCTGTGACCACTCCACCTTCCCAGGTGCCCTTGCATAATAGGTATGAGGCTCTGCCGGTAGAACCAAACAATGACAAGGACGATAGTTCATCTAGCTTGGAGGTGTCACCAAAGTTAAGTCGGCCTACACTCTGCGTCAAAACTTCTTCTATAAAGAAAAAAAGACGGGTCATTGCCATAGGAGACTCCCTTCTGAAGAGAACAGAAGGCCCAGTATGCCGACCGGACTCACTTCCTAGGGAAGTCTGCTGCCTCCCTGGAGCCCAGGTTAAAGATGTGAAGAGAAATCTTCCTACCTTGGTACGGCCCTCAGATTATTATCCATTATTGATTTCTCAGGTAGGCAGCGATGAAGTCGCACTAAGAAGTCCAAGGGCAATCAAGAGAGACTTCAGGGCTTTGGCATGACTGGTTAAGGGAGCAAGAGCACAAGTATTGTTCTCCTCTATCCTTCCAGTTGCAGGGAATGATGAGGGAAGAAACAGGCAGAGCCGGCAGATCAACACCTGGCTCCACGCATGGTGTCACTGGCAAGATTTTCAGGTTTTTGATCATGGGTCAGTCTACACGACACCAGGCTTGCTGGTGACAGACAAGGTACACCTGGCCCAAAGGGGAAAAGGATCTTTGCACAGGAGTTAGCAGGGCTCATTGAAAGAGCTTTAAACTAGATTTGAAGGGGGAAAGGCATAAAACCAGGCTCGCTAGAGCTAAGCCTGGGGGCGACACGCCAATGTTTGAGGGATGGTGTGCTAGCGAGGTCCTTCTGTTTGCCACCTTAGTGGAGGTAGGGGATGGAGATCCATGTGACAGCAAAGACACAAGGGTTATTGATGTGTTAGAAACCACAGGAGCGCCTGAGAACAGTCACATAGGAATTAGGGCTTCTCCCCCCAAAAAGGTGGCGGGATCAATAGCCCAACTGAAGTGCATCTACACCAATGCACACAGCATGGGCAACAAACACAGGGAGTTGGAAGCCGTTGTGCAGCTGGAGAACTATGATAAAGTTGCAGTCATGGAAACATGGTGGGATGACTCGCACAACTGGAGTGCTGCAATGGATGGCTACAGACTCTTCAGAAGGGACAGGCGAGGAAGGAGAGGCGGTGGGGT